ATTTGATTGTAAATTACTTGAGGACAGGGACTGTCTTTTGCCTCTTTTTGTATGCCCAGCACTTAGCACAGTGCCTGGCACATATTGGGCACTTAATACATGTTTATGGATCAATTGATTGACTTAAACTCTTAATGCCAAGACTCTCTGAGGCTATTTGTTTTAGAGTCAGTGATGATCAGCCTTGGTAGGAGACATTTCTAGTATAGATCTCTATGCTGATTAAATCACAAATCATTACTCTTCCCTTCCCCAAAAGATTCTATGTGTGTGTATACATATACACACATACATATACACATACACTGCTTTGTATGGACACTTATACCACAGATTTTTGCATTAGAAGTCCTTTGCGCAGAAGAATACTAAAAGATGGAGTTCCTGATAGCCACAGGCTAAGTTAGGGAAACTTTAGAGGGTTATGGTGGTTTACTGAATCTTTTTGGATCCAGAGCTAGAGTTAAGCATATCCTACAATGGCGGAGAGGAAGCTGAGAAGGTGTGTTGTTAAGGTACGTCACCCAAAAAGCCAGGCCAAGAGTGTATAGTAGGACATTAAGTTGAAGATGGTATCCTCTGTTCTATTCTAGCATCCTTGGGTGGTCTGCATTGTTTAGCACTGCCTGAATACTCTTTTGGGCATGACAGCCTTACTTGTTTTCGCCCTGTCCTCCTGGTCCTGGGTTTGTACGTAAGTCAAGCAGGCAGAGCCAGGAGGGAAGAGGAAGGTACTTGTTATTAAGTAATGTTGAAGTATTTCTGAGTAAGGGTCATGAGGAGGAAGTTCTGTGCTTGACTTTGGCAGGTGGCGTGGGTTGGTCTGTGCTTTAGTATGGGAGCCTGGAAGCCGGGAGTTCTTAGAATGCTGCACTTCTTGATGTTTGTTTTCATCACGTCCCTTGTGGAAATGACTAATTGTGAAATGGTGTTCATTTTGTTTGGTGATCCTTTGGGATGTTTCCAGGAGCTTAATGATTTATGGTATTTTCTTTCTGACAGCAGAGCTGGGAGAAGATAGAAGATAGGGATTCAGTGACAGCAACAATTGAATTAGGTTAGATGTGTATTGTCCTAGTTAGTACCAATGAAATGGCCTTCTTTGATTTTTTTTTTCCTGTTAATTCACACGGCAGCCTCATCTTAGAAAATTGTGGTGGTGACATGGAAGGAACACGTTTGGCATTGTGGGCAAAAGGCCTACTTCAGAGGCCTAGAATTATTTGCCACTTACAAGCTTATGTGACATAGGGCTTATCATTTTTCCTTGATGAATGTCAGTTTCTTCATCTCTAAAATTTTAAAAATGTATCTATTACTTACAGGATTTTACCAGGATTAGTTTTTTATATTTATATGCATGTGTATGTATGCATATATATCTATGTATACATGTACATGCATGCATCAATCATACACATGCTCACATGTGTGCATATACATGTGTGTATATACATGTATATATAAATGTATGTCTATGTATATGCAACAATAAAGCACTGCATAAATGCGTCATCATCTTCATCATTAAGTACTTTGTACAATAACTGAAAAAGAGTTTTTACTTTGAAAAAACTTAAATTTTAGTACTACTTTGTGTTACATTTAAATATGGTTGCAGGAATACACACCATCTTCACTATAAACATAGACTTGTAAAAAAACAAGGACATGTCATCAGTTCTATTGTACAAGTTTGTCTTGCAACAGAATCCATATAGCTATATCAGAGGTTATCATGGTGAATAATGGCTATTGGCAAGGCAGCACAGTGGAGAGAGTGCCAGACCTGAAATCAGAAAGACTCTTCTGTATAAGTTCAAATCTAGCCCCAAATATTTACTGGTCATGTGACCCTGAAAATGCCAGTTGGGGATCTGTGAAGAGAAAGCTGGTACCTGAAGTTCTATTACTTTAGTCTCCTTTTCTGCTAAACCTTTCACACCACAACCCTAGAAACTGAAAGGTTTATCTTTTTAATACTAGATATTTTCTGCCCTGTTATATAACCTTTTCAGGTTAACAGCCAGAGCACTAGACCCAATATAGATTAAGCTGCTCATAGTAAACTTTTTAATATTTATTGTTCTTATCCAGCCTACTCAGTTATTCACGTGTAGATTTTCTGCTTTATGAATACTAAACGTGTCCAATGTTTCCATCCAAATCAGATGATTTCTTCCCTAAGATTTAACGATGCTTCCACTTCCTAACCTACTGTTTTCTTTTTCTTTTTTTCCCAATTGGCTAATGGATTTCTTTTTCATTTTGAGTTCCCAGTTCTCTCCCTCTTGCTAGCCCTTTCTCTACCCATTGAGAAGGCAAATAGCATGAAACCCATGTTACATGTGAAGTCATGTAAAACACATTTCCATATTAGCCATATTGCAAAAAAAAAAAAAAAGCAAAGTGGAAAAAAAATATGCTTCAGTCTGCATTCAGAGTTCATCAGTTCTCTCTCTAGAGGTGAATAACATTTTTAATTGTAAGTCCTTGGGAATTGCCTTGAATCATTGTATTATCAGATAGCTAAGCCTTTCACATTAGATCATCATACAATATTACTGTTACTGTGTACAATGTTCCTCTGGTTCTACTCACTTCACTTTGCATCAGTTCATATAAGTCTTTGAGATTCACAGGCATAGTCTTAATCTTTATGGCTTTCTGCATTTGTTCCTGGTAGAATCGTATAACCTCAGAGTTAAAAGGAAACTCCGAGGTCTCGAAATATGAATTACATGACAATATTGCTAATAAGTGTTAGTAAGAGTTTTTGTTACGTTCTGAGGGCCACTGCCTTGTCCTCAACCGTGGCAGAATACATGGATATGTTTATGTTTTAATAATAGCAGATTTCAAGTTACCCCTTGAAGAACTCCTGTGATAGAAAACTCACTGCATATTGAGGAAGTCCAGTTCACTTTTGAAAAGTTCTAGTTGCCAGAAGGGTATTTCTTATGTCAAATTAAACTGTATCTTCCTGTAAACTTTTACCTGCTTGACTCAAGAAGAATAAGTTTTGTATTTCTTTCATATTCTTGAAGTATTTGAAGTCCACGATCATGGTACCCAGCTTTCTCCAAACTTCTGTTCAGATTAAATATCTCTACAGCCTCAATTGATCTTTTTTGTAAAAGCATTTTTATTTAAATTTTTGAGTTCCAAATTCTATCCCTCACTCCCTCCCCTCCCTCCTCCCTGAGATGGTAATCAATAAGTTATACATGTGCAATTATGTAAAACATTTACGTGTTAGTCATTTTGTATAAGAAGACTTGAATAAAAAAAGTGAAAGAAAGAAAGTGAAAACTATCATGCTTCAGTCTTTATTCAAACAATATTAGTTCTTTCTCTGGAGAAGGATGGTATAATTCATCATTAGTCCTTTGGGATTGTCTTAGATCATTGTATTGTTGAGAATACCTAAGGCATTCACAGTTCTTCATCAAACAATATTGCTGTTACTGTGTACAGCATTCTCTTGGTTCTGTAGATTTCATTATGCATCAGTTCATGTAAATCCAGGTTTTTCTGAAATCATCCTGCTTGTCATTTTTTATAGCACAATAATATTCCATTACAACCATATACCACAGCTTGTTTAGCCATTCCCCAATTGATGGGCATCTCTTCAATTTGTAATTCTTAGCCATCACAAAAAGAGCTGCTATAAATATTTTTATACAAATGGATCCTTTTTTCTCTCTTTTTTTGGATGTCTTTGGGATATAGACCTAGCAGTGGTATTGCTGAATCAAAGGGTATGCACAGTTTTAAAGCCCTTTGGACATAGTTATAAATTGCTCTCCAGAGTGGTTGGATCAATATCAGTTTGCAACTCCACCAACAGTGCATTAGTGTCTCAGTTTTCCCACATCCCCCACAACAGCCAACATTTTCCCTTTTTGTCGTATTAGCCTATCTGATAGGTGTGAGATGGTACCTGAGAGTTGTTTTCCTTTGCATTTCTCTGATCAGTAGTGATTTAGAGCATTTTTCATATGACTATAAATAGTTTTGATTTCTTTTTCTGAAAACTACCTGTTCATATCCTTTGACCATTTACCAATTGGGGAATGACTTGTATTTTTATAAACTTGACTCAGTTCTCTATATATTTGAGAAATGAGGCCTTTATCAGAGATAGTTGCAGAATTCCCCCTCCCCTAGTTTTTTGCTTTCCTTATAATTTTGATTGCATTGTTTTGTTTGTGCAAAACCTTTTTAATTTCATGTAATCAAAATAATCTATTTTACATTTTATAATGCTCTCAGTATATTCTGTGGTCCTAAATTCTTCTCTTATCCATAAATCTGGCAGATAAACTATTCCATGCTGTCTTAATTTGCTTACAGTATCATCCTTTATATGTAAATCATGTACCCATTTCGACCTTATATTGGTATAGGGTGTGAGATGTTGTTCTATGCCTGGTTTCTGCCATGCTGTTTTCCAATTTTCCCAAGGAGTTTTTGTCAAATAATGAGTTTTTGTTCCAAAAGCTGGGATCTTTGGATTTATCAATTGATTTTTCAATAACATTGTTTTAAGACTCACTTGGACATATGCTGGCTTGACAGTGCTCTTCTTAGAATCCAGTGCCCCATACTGAACTCCAGATGTCTGACCATGGCAGAGGACAGTGCAGTTTTGGGCTCCCTAGGTATTCTACTTAATGCAGAAGTATTGGGAGCCCTGTTCATTTTGAGTAGAAATATGTCTGTTTCAACCATGAACCAGGTTGCCTGTTTAATATTTTGATGAGTAAGGCAATTAGATAGATTGAAATAGTGTATATAATGGTAGAAGAAGGAAAGAAACAAGCAAAAGCACCTACTATGAGCTGCACAGTATGCTAAATGTTTTATAAATAGTATCCCATTTGTTCCTCATTACTACCCTAGGAGATAGGTCCTACTGTTGTCTCCATTTTACAAATGAGTCAGCAGAGCAAACAGGTTAAATGACTTACCCAGGGTCACATAACTATTAAGTTTCTGAGGCTGGATTTGAACTTTGGTCTTCTTGACTCCAGGCCTAGTGCTGTATCCACTGTGCCACCAAGTTTCCAATGGATGCTAGAGGATGCTGAATATGGATGGAGTTGGAATATATGTGGAAAGAAATAACTCATGTCCAGGCTATGAGTCTTTGTGTGGCTCTGCTTCTTGAAAGATAAGGTAGCTGAAAGCATATACATGTAAAAATGTCATTATAAATAACAAAATAAATAACAATTCACATAGCTATTCACATAGCTAAATAACAACAGTAATATTGTATGATGTTCTACTGTGAAAGACTTAGCTATTGTTCTTTATAATATTTATAAAAACAAAAAAGTGCTTTAAATGTGCAATTTATCTTTTTAGAGAAATTAAAGAATAATTTGTCTTTCAGTATAATAGGAACCATTGAGGTTTTTTTTTGGGGGGGGGCTAGGCAGTGGGGTTAAGTGACCTGCCGAGGGCCACACAGCTAGGTAAGTGTCAAGTGTCTGAGGCTGCATTTGAACTCAGGTCCTCCTGACTCCGGGGCCGGTGCTCTATCCACTGCGCCACCTACCTGCCCCTGTTGAGATTTTTTTGAGCAGAGAAGTTATATAGTTAGACTTGAGCTTTGGGATATAAAACTTAGATTCTTTCATTAGATCCTCATGCTGACCCGAGGCAAATGCTATAGGTATAATATAGGGGATAATAATTTATCCCTCTTTCCAGATGAGGAAGCTGGGGCTAAGAGTAGTTAGTGACTTTGCCCACAAGTATATTCTTTAAGAGCAAGGACTACTTTAAAATTTTGTCTTTGTATTCCCAGTGCCTCGCATGGTGGCTTGCATACCTTAGGTGCTTAATATGCAGATAATATGGGGCAAAGCTGGTGCTTCGAGGCTCACCACTACCTTATTCTTTCTTTCTAAGCCAAGATGATCTGTGTTTTCCCCCTACACAGGCCTTTTTACAGTGAGCCATCCGTGCCTAATTCAAGCCTTTATTCAACCTCGGTGTTGTGTTGCTGCGTATTCTCTGCTGTGTTGCTCTAGGGTTAGTAGACTGGCCCAGGTCCCAGGACCTAATTATTGGTGGTCCAACGTGCTATTTAACGTGAGCTGCTTATGAAGCCAGGTGTGACATATTGGGAGGAAAGTAGGGGGTGGGGCATCCAGGTTGCATAGCCGTACAGAAAGTTCTTTCATCTTTTAATTGAGTCTGGAACAAGATATGATATTGGTGTCACATCCTGTCTGCCAGCTGCCTGAAGGACATCCTGGAATCTCATTTTGTGTGTCTTTTTCAGTCAGGGTCGATTGTAGCCTCGTTTTGTGGCCACTAGGAATGCTCCTTTGCTCTTGAAATTGCAAATTTTCCTGATGAGCAAGTTGTTCTATAGTATCAGTTACATTTTGACAAACCAGCTCACAGCCTTATGCTGACTTCATAAAGAATTCTACCATTTCCTTTTCATGTTGTTTTGCCCTTTTAGATCAGTCACCAGGACATGTTTTGCAACTGATGCATAGAAACGTTGGAGAATTGGTGAGATTTATAGGCTGTTGAATTTAGTTTTCTGCAGAACCAAAAGCATGTGCCAACAGTCCTGCTTTACTCCTGTGGGGATGTGAATTGGGTCAGATATAACTTCAGTTCTGAAACAGTAAGGCATAGCAGCAGCCTTAGACTATTATGAGATTTCTCCCAGCAACAAAACATGGTTAATACCTCATTCTCAGAACTAATGGTGAGAGATTGTCTCGGTTGTTGCTTTGTTTTTGTTTTTTAAGATTCATTGTAGGCACAAAAATCCCTAACAATTATTCCCTGTTTTTGAAAGGTCGTGTCTGAAGGACTGTTTTATGATCTAAAGTCAAACCAGTTCCAGAATCAACCAATCAACCAATAAGTATTTATTAAGCACCAACTATGTTCTAGGCATTGTGTAAGGTGAAGGAGATTCTAGGACATAATGGAGCAGACTCTGCCCTCAAACAGCTTTTCTTTCAGTAGAGGAAACAAGTTGTATGCATATACATTTATACAGAATAAATACAAGATGAAGTGATAGGGAGGCATTAGCAGAGGAGAGATCAGGAAAGGCTTCATGGAGGGGTGGCATTGGAATGAATTTTGAAGAAAACTAATAATTCTAAGAAATAGAAGAGAAAAGGGGAGAGCAGTTAAGAGATGGGAGACCGCCTATGAAAAGCCATGGAGATGGGAGACAGATTGTCACGTGTGTGGTACAGCAAGCATTCCAGTTTGTCTGGACTGAATGACAGGTGAAGGAGAAAAGTAACGTATGAAAAGCCCAAAAAGATAGGTTGGAGCCAGGTTGTAAAGGACTTTAAATACCACTATGAGTTTTCCAACAGAAGTACACAGATGAGAGTATTGTATGAATGTACACCATCTCTTTTTGAATGATATAGGTATTCATCTTCCTTGGAGCAAGGAGGTAGGGTTAGTTCTTTAGGTGACTTTTTATGTTCAGATTTTCACAATGTAGCTATTCCTTTAACAGTGAAAGAACTTGTATCACCTATTTCTTTAGGACTTGACAAATTATTTTTATTGCGCCTACTGCAGTGCATAGAGTGCTGGGCCTGGAGTCAGGAAGACTCATCTACCTGAGTTCAAATCTGGCCTCAGACACTTACTAGCTATGTGACCCTGGACAAGTCATTGAACCCTATTTGCCTCAGTTTTCTCATCAGTCAAATGAGCTGGAGAAGGAAATAGCAAACCACTCCAATAGCTTTGTAAATAAAGCTCCAAATGAGTCACAAAGAGCCAGACATAACTGAAATGACTGAACAATATGTAACATATTACATACACACATACGCACAAATACACAAGACCATGTTTGTTATTATAGCCTTTAGTAATTTAAAGTCAACTTATGTGACAAAAGGAAAAAGATGCATTATGTATGCTGCTTTTTTCTTGTCTTAAAAGGTAACATTTATATAGAGCTTTAAGCACTGTGTAGATAGAATTCTACATTTACACATATACATATGCATACGTATATGTAGTCATGTCTATATTTACATGCATTTATATTTATACATATATATTTACGTAGATGTGCATGTATTTCTATTTACATATGCATTACATATATGTGTGTACATGTATGTATATACAAATGTGTATATATTATCATGTTTGAGCCTCAAAAGAACTTTGTGAAGTAGGTGCTGTTATTCTCTGAAACTGAGGCTAAAGGTTGTTAAAACTTGACAAGATTCACATAGCTAGTAAGCATCTGAGGTAATATTTGAACTCATTATTTCCTTTTTTCAAGTCCAAAACACGGCTTTAGGTACCTCTTCATCTTGATCTTCTTTCCCAATATCTTATTCCTTGCAGATGATGCAGATGCAAAAAGGTTGTTGGGTTACTAGAGGAAAAAAAATAATAGAAATTTTATACTGTTGAAAAAATATCAGATATTACATTATGCCAAGTACTGAAGCAAAATAAGGATTATTTTAGGGGAAGACAACTTTTATAGAAAGTCACAGTTATTCTCGTGGGGGTGGAAATTGGGGGGGAGCAGGAGTAAAAAGGCTATCGATCTTGGCTATAGAGTCAGCCTACTTCTCCATTTTCTAAATTTTCTGGTCATTCTCAGGATTGCTTTGAATTATACTTCTGAAAAATTGCTATACATAGACTTTCTACAATCTATGAAAACAAAGATACCAAAGTTTGCTCATCACTGGTCTTTTCCATTTAATTTTTATTTTTATTCTCCTGAACCACTTTCCTGAGAACAAGTTTATATTAGCTCAAGGAATTACTTTTTTTGCATCAAATAGATGGGCCCTGAAGGCAGTTTTCTGGTGTTCAAAATTATCCAATCACCAATTACCTCATTGATACAAGTTTAACAGTCTCAAAGATAAAGGTCATGTGACTAGGCTACAATTAGGCTTGGATTTCTACTGATCCCCAACTTTTATCATTTAAAAACAGTATAAACAGTGTCTTTCATATTTAAATTTCTTCCTAATATTCCTAGTCCTTGGAACTTGACTCTTCAGACTTTGCTTTGAAGTAACATTTCCAAGTCTGTTGTACTGTTTACCAAATTCAAATAAAGCAGAGTATACACATTTGAATATTTAGGTTATCCCAATAGAGCACATTGTTTTCCAGACAAAAGTCTGTACTATTTGATAGTTTTGACCAATAAATCAAGAAAACTAGATATCATTCCAAAAATCAGCAGCACTTTAATATAATATTTTCCAAAATTATAAGAAACTTACAAGCATAACACTAACAAAAAAGAAACTCGTGGACTTAAAACATGAAATACAAACTTACTGCCAGTCTAAGAATGTGAATATATTTGAATGCATCTCCAAATCAGCTCCACATAAAAAATATTTCATTTATCAATTATTTCTGTCATGCTAACCTGGTTGCGTACAGAAACTAATATGGAGTAGTTATCACTTTTCCTCTTATAGCTACAAAAGTATAGCACCAACAGTTACCATTTGGAACACAGCTCAGTCATACCACAAATAACAATTGTCTCCAATTACTTTATCAAACTTAATATGAATCCATATTTTAACTTGATCAGTTTTAAAAGTTGCTCTATTGTCGTAGCTACTTTTTTTCCAAGCTCAAGAATGATATTACTTATAAAATTAAGCTTGGGAATTTAACTCTTGGAAACATATTAATATCACATTCTATGTTATAGGCATGACTCTTTCTGAAATAATTTTTATGTACCTTAACATTGATCTAATATCCAAGCCGTTTTTAGCTTAGAAAGAGATGTCCACATTTCATAATTTAATATTTAGGAAAGACTTTTTTTCCAACACCTGTCACTGAAATAATCTAATTTACCATTCAAGATCAAGAAAAAATATTACTTTAACCTTGAAGTATGTGACCATCAAGGCCAAAAGAAAGGCAAAGCAAGGCAAGGTAAAAGTGTATTGAGGGCATGGTAAGGAGGAGCCAGGAGTGAGAGGTTATGTAATATGTCTTTGGCAGAGTAGCATTTTGAAGCCCTGAAACTGGCTTTACCTGTACCATTCCATAGAATTTGGAAATAATTTTTCTTGTGATATTTGTATTCTGCCAGCTGAGATTGTATGGGTTCTAAGGGTGCTCTGAGTTTACGCTTTTGACTGACAGGCATTTCATTCACATTTATAGTATTCAGAAACAGACTAATTATAGTAGCCATGAACTTTAGCTCATTTGGTGGCACCAAGACTGGAAAGAAACAAGGCTACAATAGGTATCTAAGAATCTCAGTAAAATTTTGAAAGCGTAAATAATGGGCTTGGCACCAAATGTAAGATTTTTTGATATTTGTCATTATCGTAAGGACGTCAGCCTTGTCTAAGAAGGCGTGGCCCACTTCTGCACCTTTCATACTCTACTTCATTTCCAAAAAGTGGGAGATAGGTTTTGTTATTGGTCTTTTGAAGCCCTGATTGGATCACAGTTCTGTAGTTTTTACAGGTTGTTTTCCTTCACATTTTTATCATGGTAACTGCATACATTTTTCTTCTCATTCTGTTTTAGTTGATATAATCTTCCCATGCTTCTCTGAATCCATTGTATTTGTCATTTCTTATGATCAGTGAAGAAAAGAATACGATTGCAAAAGGAAGCACAAAGAGCAATTTTTTTACAACCTTGTTAAATGCGTACATCACTTACTCTTTTTTTGTGTGTGTGGAAATATTTGTATTTGTTGATTGAGTTCACAATAAAAATGAAAAATTTTTAAAAATCTTACTAACCGTGGTCAAGACTAGTACAGGAAAACTTGACAAAAATTTGACAGATCAAGAAAATTTCTGTGGAAGCCTAGTCATTTAAACTTTTTCCAAGACCAGATTACAACATGAGTATGCATGCATGTATAAGTTTTTGTCTTGTATAAGGGCCTTCCTTTGAAGCATCTATTTCTGAAGATGCATAATTAGACTTCATTAATCAGGGTTCTAAAAGGAAATTCCAATGTTTGGTTCAAAAGGGAAAAAATGAAAATGTAAAAACAGAGTTAAAAAAGCATTAACAAGTATTTTACCAGTTTTAAGGGAAAGTTGCCAGTTTCTAGAAGGCCATATAGTTCCTAAGCTTCATACTGAGACCTACAAGAACAGGATTGAGTGAAGGTGGAGAAGCCATTCTGGTCCTTCTGCAATTGTCTTTGGATTCCCAGTACCTAGAACATTAAACATATAATAATTGCTTAAAAATGCTTTTTGAGTGAATGGATAGATGACTGGATGTTAGAATGGAGAGGAGGAAGAGAAGAAGGAAGAAGATGATTATAATGTTGATTTAATTTGTCTGAAGTATTGATTCTTTTTGGTGTTATGGTGAGGAAAAATGTTTGGGGATTTCTTAGTTAAGTTCCAAAAGGTTTTCAGGAGGACAAGTGGTAGAAGATATTACTTCTTTCCCTTTCCCAAACATTGTTTAAGTATCTTCTTTTAGGTAATTCAGTAAGAAGAAATAATATTTCTTGGAGTGAATAATTGTACTCTGCCCCTTGCCTCCAGTTCTGTGGAAGCTGTACTGGTTTAGCTTCTAGGAATGGTGGCTCCCAAAAGAAGCTTCGTTGGAGAACCTTCCTCTCCCACTCTGGAATCCTTGTTCCATAAAGAACTTCATCTCATCCTCTATCTCTTTTTCTCACACTTCTACTAACTCTCATTGAGACTTGTTTCCCTCTCAATGACATTATCAAAGGCTCTTCTTTCCAATATGACTTGTACATTTTCTCATATCCCTGATATAGTCTTGAAGGAAGAGTTGAAGTAATGCTTAGTGCCCACTGCCACTTCCAGACTCTCTCTTTATCTCTGTAACTCATCAACTTCTCCTCCTTTGAAGTCCACTCAATCAAAATATTCCATCCAAACTCAATCATTGAATACTATCCCCTACATCCTTCTCCCTCTTTCCAAAGGAGTTCAGCACATGGATCATTTTCTTTCTTCCCCAGCTCCTGCTTGTGCTAGGGGACTTTAATATCTAGATCAATGCTTTTTCTAGCTCCCTAATCTCCTAATTCCTCAGCCTTCTTAAACCACGACTTATTGCTTCCCTCCCTCTCAGCCACGCACAGGGATGGTTACACACTGGATCTCACTCTTACCCATAAGTATCCCACATCTTAAGAAAAAATGCTGACACTCCTCTATCTAACTATAATTTCATCAGTCCAGCTCTCTCTTTGTCTAAGCCTGCCTAAACCTATTATTTGCATCCTTGTGTCCCTTTGCCCCTTGATACTTTTTCAAGCCATTACCCTGGTATGATTTCACTTTCCTGTAATTAGCCATTTGAACTATACAGTGTCCTTTGCTCTCCATTTTCTAGCCCCATAGTTGCATCTGCAGTCTTCTCTTGCCAATCCTGAGCTCTGAATTACTTCCACTAGCTACCTCCTCTCATTTGTACTCACTGTTGTGGAACACAATTGTTGGAAGTTTCAAATGTACTGAGCATATTATAAATTCATATTATCCAACCTCAACTGGATTTTCACTTTCACAAGGTAGCCCTTTTAGCCCTTTCTAATTGATTCCCTGTCTCACTTCCCTCAAAAGTTTTTCCAAACCTTCTCTTCCATCCTCAGGCCTCTCCCTCCCCCTCTTGCAGCCAAGAACTTTGTCTCTGTACTGAAAAAATTGAAGTCGTTTGATATGAATTCCCTCATTTCTCTTTCTCTTAAAACCTCTTAATATCATATCTCATTCTCTCCTACTTATTACCGGTCTCTAACAAAGAGGTGGCCTTTCTCCTTGCAGAGGCCAAACTACCTGCATGGGGGATTGATGCCATCCCTCCCCACCCCCTTTCCATGTCTTGTAGCAGACTGCAAGCTCAATCATCCCCTCTATTCCTGGAGATGTTCTTCTTTTTGAGGTAATGTCATTGCTCTTTCCTTGTTCTCCTACCAGTCTGACCACTCCTCCTCAACCTCTTTTTTTGGCTCATTGTCAGCGTCATACCCTTTATTGTGGTTGCTCCTCTAAGGCTGCATCTTGTACACTTCAAAATTCTCGCTCTTGGTAACCTTAAGAATGCTCATGGGTTTAACTCTCATCACTTTGCAGATTACTTAAGTCCATATATCCAGCTCTCCCCTGAGCTTCCCTCATCACTAATTGCTTACCAGACATTTCAGATTGGAGACATATACATATTCACACACACATGAATATTATATATGTATATGTGTATATATGTGTGTATATGTGTATATGTATGTATATGTAATCAAACTCAACCTGTATAAAACTGAACATCTTTTGCCTCAAACCCTCGTCTCATCCAAATTTTCTTATCTTTTGAAGGCATCACCATTTTTCCAGACCCTCAAGTTCATAACCTTGGTGCTATCCTTGACTCCTCTTTCTCTCTTCCCCTCCAGTAATTTGTCAAATCTTGCCATTTTTATCTCTACAACATCTCTTGTATCTGTTCCCTGTCTCTCTGCTCCATAGTAAGTTACTTAAGTTCAGGCCCTCATCACCTGTCACCTGTCCATCTTTCAGTCTCAATTTTCTCCAGTTCAACCTAAAAATTTCTCCCAAAGTGATTTTTCTTGCTTGAAGCTCTGACCATTTGACTACCCTACTCAATCAGTTCTGCTGGCTGCCTAGTGCCTTTAGGATACAGTATAAATTGTTTTTTAAAAGTTCTTTAAGGTCTTTATATCCTGATTCTAACCTATCTTTCCAGCCTTGTTGGCCATTAATCTCACTCTTCCTCTCTCTTATCTTACCCAATTGTCCTCTCTCTTCCGTATTCATGGTCCTCTGGCTCCTCTGTCTGTGACCCCCATGCCTGAGATGCACTCCCTCTGAACCTCTACCTCAGGGAGTCTTTTTCTTCCTTTAATGCACAACTCAAACACTATCTTCTTTTTTTTTTAACTTTTTAAAAATTAATTTATTTTGAATTATCAACAATCACTTCCATAAGCTTTTGAGTTTTAAATTTTTCTCCTCCTCCCTTCCCACCTCCCTCCCGAAGACATCGTGCAATCTTATATAGGCTATACATATACATTCCTATTAAACATATTTTCACATTAGTGATGTTGCAAGTAAGAATTAGAACCAATAGGAGGAACCACCATAAAGAGGAAACAAAACACAACGGAAGAAAAAAAATAGCAAATAGTATGTTTCGATCTGCATTCAAACTCCATAGTTCTTTCTTTGGATGTGGATAGCATTTTCCATCACAAGACCTTTGGAGATGTCTCAGATCCTTGTATTGCTGGGAAAGGTTAAGTTTATCAATATTAGTCATTGCACAATGTGGCTGATATTGTGTACAACGTTCTCCTGGTTCTGCTCACTACACTCAGCATCAGTCCATATGAGTCTTTCCAGGTTTTTCTGAAGTCAGCCTGTTCATCATTTTCAAGCACTGCCTTCTTCATGAAGGCTTTGCTGATCCCTCCCTGCCCCTGCCAAATTACCTTGTATTCAGCTACTTTATCTTGATCTATATTTATTCCATTTATATTTATTCTCTGTATGGTTTCATGTGATATATATATATATATATATATATATATAATATATTATATGTGTGTGTGCATATATTATATATGTGTGTGTGTGTGTGTGTGTGTGTGTGTATGTATTTGTTATCTTTCCCACTGAGCTTTTTTTAAAAAATAAATAAATAGAGATTGTTTCATTCTTTGTATCCCCAGTACCTGGCACAATGCTTGACACATAGTAGGCATTTAATAAATGCTGGTGGATTCATTTATTCTTAAACACATCATGGAAGCTTTATATGGGACCCAAAGAATAAAGGTTTAGATGTAAGGAGGAAACTAAACATAAGGTAGTCATTTTAACGTGTTGGCTAACTCTTATTTGTGCCTGGAATGTACCTACCCATACAACCCAAGGTCCAGGATGTGGATGACCAGCATTAGAATCCATAGTTAACATTCCAAGCCATTGTCCTCTAGATTTATTCAGAACCATTGCTTCTTACTCCAGACTTGTCAATGAAATTGACCCCTGGAGTGGGCTCAAAGTGAACTTTCTCTGCATTTTGTTCTGGCATAATTACCCACATAAGAACTAATCGTCTGTGCTCCTGTAAGTCAAATGCAAATACACATGACCTCCCATCTCCCCTCTCCACACCTTTGCACTGGCTGTCCTCCATCTCTTGAATGTCTTGTCCATCACCTCTGCATCGTAGATTCTTCAGCTTTCTTCCATATCCAGCTCAAAATGCCACCTTCTGAGGATTGCATTTCTCCATCTTCTCATCCCCTGGTGCTCTTCCAGCCAAAGTTGTCTTGAGTCTGTTTTGTATGTTTCTTTTATAGTATTTATATATGTGTGTGTGTGTGTGTATGTGTATATATATACACATACACACACACACACACACACACACACACACACACGTTGATTCCCCCATGAAAATGTAAGCTGTTGAGGGCAGGGACTTTCATTTTTACCTTTATGCCCAGTGCTTGGCATGTAGTAGGTACCTAAATGGTTGTTGATTGATAGCTTGCCCAATATTGCATAGAAAACCCCTTCTCACCTCTGCTATTGTCTCCCTCTCCTTCCTCTTCTCTGTTTCAGAGTTCCAAAGTTCTGGCTAAGAAAGAACTTTCCTATGTCCCTGTAATTGGATGGATGTGGTATTTCCTGGAAATAGTATTCTGTTCCCGCAAGTGGGAGGAAGATCGTGAGACAGTCATTAAGGGTTTGCTAAATCTTCGGGACTATCCTGAAAACTTCTGGGTAAGTAACAGCTTTGAAACAAGGGAAACTGTAAACCACTTCTATCCTGACCACCCCCAGTTCTGCTCACTCATTACGAGCATCCCAAAATGTCACAAGACTTTAAAAATTAACCAGACCTTGAGAACTTACAGTTTCTCCTGCTTTGCTCTTTTTGTATTATTTTTTATTTTCATAATCGTGGTTGGGGGTTGATAGTCATTTTTATTTTTCTCATTCCTACTACTTCCTAAATATTGTTGTTGTTCATTCATCTCAGTTGTGTCCAAGTCTTGGGGTATTCTTGGCAAAGATAACTGAAGTGGTTTGCCAGTTCCTTCTCCAGCTCATTTTTTTTTATAGATGAACAACTGAGGCAAATAAGGTTAAAGTGACTTGCCCAGGGTCACACAGCTAGTAAGTGTCTGAGGCCAGATTTGAACTCAGGACAGTGAGTCTTCCTGAGTCCAAGCCTGGCACTTTATCCACTTCATCAACTAGCTGCCCTTCCTAAATATGCCCGGTGCTAATACTTGGTACAGCTAAAGATCAAAGGACCTGGAAGCATTCTGAGAACAGTAAGCTTATCCTCAAACCCTCCTTATAATCTTTTTTCTCACCAGTTCCATTTTTCCCCCCAGTGAGAAAGTTGAGGCCCAGATAAGGTGGTGATTTCTTTCCTCAGAACATTGTGTTAGCTGGAGTCCTGTCTAAGTAATGCAATCAGATAATGTTATTCAGGAATTCGGATACCTCGGCCCCATGAGACAGGCTGTACAGCTACTTCCTGAAAGACATGAGAAGTCTAGGAAAATGTGATGCTTTCCTTCAGTCTCTTGCTTTTTGCACACAGACTTTTTCCATGGAGTGGTTTCTAATTTCTCTCCTCTGTTGTTTCCAGTTTCTGATTCATTGCGAGGGCACCAGATTCACCCAGCAGAAGCACCAAATCAGCATGCAGGTAGCCGAATCTAAAGGCCTGCCGAAACTCAAATATCACCTGCTCCCGCGCACAAAGGGATTTGCTGTCACTGTGAAGTGTTTAAGAAATGTAGGTAAGGAAAGTCACTTGGTGCAAATTTTTTTTACCCTTCCCTTTCAAGATCAGAATAGACTACCAGTCTCCCCCACCTCCAAGATGCAGTTTTCTTTCTTCTCCACCAGAATTTACATGGGGTCTCTTGGCTGACTGCACAAGAGACTGCTGAATTAGGACCTTTTGACTAATTAGAAATGGAGGACAGGAGAGTTTTGCTTTCCTATAATGCGTCAATGATGTTAATGGCACAAATTTCTGTAGTAATTTAATGTTAACAAAATACAGCAACCATGTGAGGTAGGTAGTGCTAACCTGCTGTAGAGGTCATAGGACTTATTACCATCCAGCTGGAAGGGACCTCATTTTACCAAGGAGGAAATTAAAGCCCAAAAAGAAGTGATTGGCCCAGGGTCGCCACACAGGAAACATCAAATATCTGATTTGAACTTCAGAGCCAGCGAGTGATCTTTAAACACAGTGCTGGAGTTGGAGTCAGTCAGAAAGAGCTGGTTATTTGCTGTGTGACCCTGGTCAAGATACTTAACTTTTCTTTCCTCATCTATAAAAAATGGACAACATGGTACCTAGAGTGCCTGCCTCAAAGAATTGTCAGGAGTCTCAAATAAGATAACATGTAGAATGCTATGTAAATATTAAAGAGCTATAGAAGTTGTGGAGTTTTTTTTTTTTTGATGTGGGTACTACCACTAAATGGGCAGCTAGGTGGCTCAGTGGATAGACCACCAGGACTGCAGACCTGAGTTCAAATGTGACCTCAGATACTTACTAGCTGTGTGACCCTGGGCAAGTCACTTAACCCTGTTTGCCTCAGTTTCCTCAGTTATAAAATGAGCTGGAGAAGGAAATGGCAAATCACTGTGGTATCTTTGCCAAGAAAACCCTAAATGGGGTCATGAAGAATTGGATACAACTGAAATGGCTGAATAACAACTACCACTAAAGCCATTTCATTTTACAGAAGAGACGTCTGAGTCCCAGAGAGGTTGGGTGTCTTGCCTAGGGTCACACAGCTAATGAATACCATTAAATAATGCTGTAAGTGGAAACTCTAACTGGCCACCTTTTAGCTCAGGTCATTACACAGAATTGTAACTATGGCTCTCTGTCACTCTGCACAGATACTATGACATTGTGAGTGATGGCCAAGACCCTCCATTTTTCCTTGCCCTGCTGTCCCGATAATAGTTGTAAGTCTTGGTTATCTGAACTTCCTATACACCTAATTCTTGTGGAAGTTTTGACCATGTTTTTCTGCCTCCTGACACCTTTTGGCAGGATCTACCTCCAAAGTATTTATTTATCTCAGGATTTGGCTGATACGCCTATGGTGGTGAGCCAGAACCCTTGGGGTGGGAAAGAAATAACTGAACATATAAAAGCTTTCCTCTACTTTCCTCTCTTCCCATGTTGTACTTTTTTTCATTTCTCCTCAGTCTATTCAGTAGACTAAAGAGCAAATCTCAGCTGAAGTGGACACGGTCTTATAGTTAAAGATTGTTAACATTTCCTGTTTTCTTCTTTACCATCCACCCCCTTTCACACCCCCTTTCAGGCAATTCAAGTCTACAAGTACTCTGTGCCAGACCATTGTGCTAAGGGCAGAAGATAGAAAATAGAAATAAAGGCAAACTTCTATCACAATCTAATAGGACAATATAACACATAAACAACTATGAAATAAGATACAGGCAGGAGATTGAATATAATCTTAGAAATAAGGCACTAGCATTAAGAAATTTAGGGAAAGACTTTTTGCAGAAGGTGGGATTTGAGTTGAGATTTGAAGAAAGCAAAGAGGCAAAGTTGAGGAGGGAGAAAATTCCAGGCATTGGGGACAGCCAGTTTCAGGACAGCAGAAAGGGGAGTGTCACTGAATCCCAGAGTATGTAGAGGGTATAAGGTATAAGAAGAATGGGAAGATAGAAAGGGCTCAGGTTGTGAGGGGCTTTAAAAGCCAAACACATGATGTTATATTTGATCCTGGAGATGAAGGGGGAATCAGTGGAGTTTGTTGAATATGGGGTATAGTGAGAGTCACTTAGATAGTTTAATGGAGGATAAACAGGCGTGTGGAGACTTGAGGCAAAGAAATATAACATTGCATTCCAGGTAAAGTGGATGACACAAGTGAAATTAGGGGTTAGGGTTATATATATGAAACAAGTCATCTGGTTTGGAGTGTAGAGTACACGAAGGAGAAATAGTTTGGGTAAGGTTAGAGGAGCGGGTTAGAACACGAGTACAGAGATTCTTGAAGGCTGGGGGACTGGAGGTGGGACAACCAGACAGGAAGCTGTTGCCATTTTTCAAGTGAGAGGTAACGAAGATGTTAACTAGAGTCTACCTCTTCTCAGAGCCCTCAAGGCTCTGATCTGTGACTAAGCCCATCATGCTGAGCTACCTATATTGCTACAGTGGTACCTACATGTCTACATTGGTGGAATGTACACTAAGCTAGTGATGGCAGTAAGGAATGTAAGAACTCTTTTGGAGGAAGATTTGTGAGTATCTGCAAACTAATTGGATTTGTGGTAAGCAAGAGAGGAGTTAAAAAATCATAGAATCCTAGAATTTTAAGAGACCATTAAGGTCATCTGATGCCCCATCTCCAAAAGCCTTGACCTGAAGAACTCAAGTGATTTGGGAACTTAGTGCCTCTCAAGGCAGACCACTACATTTTTAGACAGTTAGAATTATTAAGAAGATTCTTCTTATCCAGGCAAAAATCTGCCTCTTTATAACTTTGAAACTTCATCAATTCTGTGGCATTCTGCTCAGTATGTGTAAACAGAAAAAAATATCATCCCTCTTCCACATGACAGCCCTTTTCTTATATTTGAAGACAACTGTCATATCCCATTAACTGGGCTAAGCATTCCTGGTTCATTCAACTTATCTTTGTGTGGCCTGGTTCCTAGACCGTGTCATTTATTCTGTTTTGGACCAACTCTCTTCTGTCGATTTCCTTCCTACGACGTGGTGCCTAAAACTGAACACCATGTTCCACATGTGGAAAGCAGTAGAACATACTAGCTCCTTCAGTCTAAATCCTAGGATTCTATACATGCAGTCTGAGATACCAGTGGCTTTTTGGACTTCCATGTTACAATCTTGCCATGTGTCTAGTTTGAAGGCAGCTCCTTTTCTAATGACCAAGTTGCCTAACCATCCTTCTTTTATTCTATACTTATTGAATCAATTTTTTGAACCTTAGTATAGGACGTCACATTTATTCCTTTTAAATTAAATTCCTATTCATTCTGTTCAGGCCATCATTCTGACCTGTTTGTCTTTCTGTTTGTCTCTCTTTCTGTCATATTCTCTCTCTGTGTCTCTCTGTCTGTGTGTCTGTCTCTCCCCCCTCCCTCCCTCTCCCTCCCTTTCTTTCTCCCTCTCCTTCTCCTTTTTTTCCTCTCCTTCTCCCTCCCCCTCTCTTCTTCCCTCTTTTTCTCATACACATATATGTCACATATACCGTATGTGTATGTGTGTGTATATATGTGTATGCACATGTATGGGAGAGAGAGAGATGGAAACAATCCAAATTCTGTCATCCAGTGTTTTAACTATGACTTTAGGCTCTGTGACATCTCAAAACTAGATAAGAATGCTCTTACCAAATCAATCATATAGATATTGAGCACAATAGGGCAGGGCCAAAGACAAATCATGGGGTCACACACCTAGAGACTTCTCTCCAAGTCAGCAATTGCCCTGGAGACCAGAGAGCCATAGGCCCTGGACCCCAGGGTTCTTTGACCCTTCTCTTACTCCTGACTCAGGTCACAGGCTAGAACCAA